TTAAATATACTTTATCTCTCAGCCGTTTACCTAATTTTGGACACTTTGGTCAACATAAATAATATTTACAACTACTTTTATCTTTTGGTGCTTTATATTTTCTAATCCAAAGTCTACCACTTCTTTTTCTAAATTGTTTTGGAATATATTTTCTCTTCCTATATGTTCTTGAAGGTTTTATGTTGTTTGTATGGCTTGTATGACTTATATTTCCTTTTCTTATGCTTATTTTTCTTATGACAACTATATTGTTGTGATAAATCTATGTTTTTACAGCTCATGTAAAATTGCTTCCTAATTTGTCTCTTAACTTTTATTTGGCTACACTCTTGTTTAAGTATGTTATATACATGTTGAATTCTAGGTCCTATTGCAATATCATTTTTCTTTGCATGCTTTTGTCATTCATTCCAAATCTTTTCTCTCATTGGTCCTTTTATTTTTGTCATATAAGTATCTAATAAATTAGTATCACTAATTCTACCTGTTCTTTCTAAATACGTAAAGAAATTTGAAGTATACTCCGCTATATATTGTAAATCACAAATTTGTAATTGTTCTAAATTTCTAATTGCTCTTATTTGTTCTTGTTCAATTCTAACATCTAACATATTATGATCTAAAAATTCTTGCTTAATTAAAGTAACAAAACCATCAATATTAAAATGTGTTTTAGCTACCTGATGCTGTTCTAGATTTTGAACTTTCCATAATTGAAAATAATAAAAACCTAAACCAGTTAAAGTATATTCAAAATAATCTAACATATTTTGTGAATTACTAAAATCTAATATTAGTGCTGCATGTACACAACATTTTTCTCATCTCTCAATTGTTCTCTCCCAATCTTGTGGATTTACATTATTTAAGTTTAAAATATTACATGCTATATTGATTTGTTCTAATCCTCTTAAATATGGAATCCTATTTTTTCTAGGTGGTTTCATCGTACTTTCTTCAATGTAATCTACTCCTGCTTGTTCATTATATTGTTCATTTGTTTGTCTCAAAAATTGTTGATCAGTTCTACCTACATATCCTGAATTTTCTACTCCTAATGTGCTACTTTCTTCTGCTGGATTACATTATACTTTCAACTCTAATAAATTATTATATTCTTTTGATTCTAAAATATGTTCCACTCTTATTTCTAAAATTAATTTTTTTTCATCTCTTCATCTGAAATTCTATGTAGTCCTAAATCATATGTCTTATATTTTTCTAAATATTGTTCTTCATCTAAATGATCAACATCTTCTATAAGCCTATTTACAATATGATCAAAATTTTGCTCAACTAAATTAATATCTAAATTATCAAAAGTCATGTGAATACTCTCATTTTCAATTCGCTCCCATCATCTTCTATATTTTCTAATTGCTTGTAATTACTAAATCTAATTGTTGCTTCACCTGTATTAGTTTCATATATTTGTACTCTAACTGATTGTCTATTTCTGGCTACTTGTAAATTAGGTAATATACACTGAATTCCTTCTAAAAAGCTATTATTTACGGGTTTTGCTTCTATCATATTTACATGCTTATTACCAAATGTGTGAACTAAATTTTGAAATTCTAAATAAAATATATGATTATATTTATCAGAAACTTTACCAATATACATTAAGTTAATACACAAATTTTTATACTCTCCTTTCATATTATAATTTTTTTGTTCTTATGCTTACTTTAATATATTTACTAAATTCATTAATTATCATAACATAATTAGGAATACAACATATGACTGCTAAATTTGAACTTAAGTCTACTTCAGCTGTTGCTATTGCTGCTTGCTGGTGATTATCTCATATGTCATCATATATGTACACTAGCTAATGCTTTTGTGCCTACTTGTGCCCTGGTTAATCATGTTATTCCAATTAATATTGTTCCTATATGAATTTAACTAAAATGTGATTTTCTCAACTGAATAACTGCTTCTTTATTGAGTATATTAAGTGTAACTTCTTTATCAATACAGCTAACTTCATGTTAACTGATGCTACTGACAATTCTACTTCTATTTTCAAATAAACCTAATTGATACAAATTATATTTATTTCTCTGTGTTCTCTTAAATCATCTTCTATTAAATTATTGTGCTTCTTCTTCATTTGGATAAATATCTTCAACTCTAACTACTTCTTTTCCTTTTCTCCTAAATAGTTCCATTTTCTATTGTCAAAATGATTTATCTTAGGTCTTCAAATATGATTATTTGTACTTCAAGTTAAATTTTCTAACTTTTCTAACAAAGATGGTGGATGTCACATCCCGGCCCGAGGTCCACCACATTCTGGGCCCACTCCACCACTGTAGCACGATATTGTCCACTTTGGGCCCCGACCACGCCCTCACGGTTTTGTTTCTGGGAACTCACACAAGAACTTCCCAGAAACAAAACCGTGAGGGCGTGGTCGGGGCCCAAAGCGGACAATATCGTGCTACGGTAGTGGAGCGGGCCCTGGATGTGGTGGACCACGGGCCGGGATGTGACAGTGGAAGTGATGAAGATGTGTTATGTAAAACTTGATTTATTTCTGCTATTTGTTTTTCAACTTGGTCTACTTTTTCGGCTAAACTTAAAGCTAATTGGATAGTTAAATTATTTTGTCTAATAGGGATAATACTACTAGCTACTGGTGTTGAAAAATTTGTTAAACATACTGGTTCTTTATCTAACTTACTAATTTCTTTCAAAACTTGGATATATTTTCTATTAGTTCTAGAATCGGTCATTAAATTAATGATCTATCTATTTTATAATGTAACTTATCTACTTGTTAACTCAACTCTTTTTGCACTAATTGAATTTTTTGTACTTCTAATTTTAATTGCTCAACTATTTCTAGTGATCTAAGTTCTACTTGCTTAGGTTTACTATCTATAAGGTCAATAAGTTCTTTTATCTCTTTTTTGCTCGGAAACCTTTGAATATTTTTATTATTATCTTCTAACTCAGATGTAATATAATCTAAATTTTGTCTAATTGTTTTTATGGATTTTTTATGAAAATGTTCTAACAACTGGTTTAATAAATAATTATGCTTATTATTTTTTAATTTTATATTTTCTGCTTGACCAATAATAAGATTTACAATGCTATTGGCTTGTGGATTTTCTTCACTATGCAAAATATGATTATGATTTCTTAATGGAAAATAACAAACTAAACTATTTTGGTCTAAAGTTATTTTTCTTTTTTGTGGTTCACTAATTTCTAAATTTAGGTAATCTATCATAAGTTACAATCTACATTTCTCTAAAATTACAGCTAACTGGTTTCTTAGAAACTCTCTTTCTTTTCTCAGGGTATCTAAAGTTTGATCTGTTGCTTTTCTTGCTTCTATAATTCTATGTTGCACTTCTGTGTTATTATATTTACTAATAAATGAAGGGTGTTCAAGATAACCAAGATAAAACTTCTGCTTCTTCAAAGTTTTGCTATTTCTTTTGGATATATTTGTTAATCTTCTGTTTATGCTAGTTATAGTTGGGTGTCTAGGACAATAAATATCTGGTGGTTGTGGTTTAGAAGGTCTACAAAGACAATAATATCTATTATTCATACAAAATTAAACAAATGTGTGATATTAGTTGTGTTAATGATGTCTGTCCTCAAGGCACTTTACTATTATAATTATACTATTAAAATGCTAAACTTGGTTCTGATTCCAAATTTCTCAAAGCAAATGTCCGGTTAAATAGTCGGATGTCCATTATAACAACTAGACATAAAACCTTACACATGAAACTCGACACATCTCAGCATGATGGCCACTCACAATGCAAGTATAAGGCTTTAAAGGCTGAACTCAGACATACAAAGAACTCAGAAGTACATTGGTTAATGTCCAGTTATTTGTATGGTAAGCATTCAATTATAACAGAGTGCTCTAACAAAGTATGATTATCAGTTTAGCAAGTTAATAATATAACTACAATAGTGTTTCCCTATTTTGGATTAGAAGTCTAATTAAACAAACACACTAAAGAATGAAAGAAAGAAAACTTACTTAAGACTTGAAGATTGCTTGAATTTGTACACTTGAACTTTTATTGATATATAAAATGTTTACAAAGAGAAGTGTTTACAAAGAATGCTAGGAATGCTTCGGGTGCTCTATGCTTGAGGTGTATTGGAGTAGTGTGTATTGAGGTGTTGTGTCCTTACAGTGAATGAAACTCCTCCTTATATACATTAAATGAGGATACTATTGTATAAAAAAAAATCTTTACAAATAATGGTGTAGACGTCTCCTTGGGTACTTGTTATTTGTCCATTTGCTTCTACTGTTACTGAAATTGTCGGCACTGTTTCTAAAACATGGACTTAATTATTGTTACTATCTTCTTTTGCTTTTTTTTTTTAAACGGCATGTGAACTTGTTGAATGAATGTGATCTTTCTGAATGCCTTGCTAAATGCATGTGTTCTTTTTGAATGCCTTATCTCCCTTGTCTTCTTTCCTATGCCCAATTTAGGTATTAACAAATTATTTTGTCCTGATGATTAAAAGAAAACTTTTTTGGATGTTTCCATTAGTTTTCCATTTTTTTTAATGACATAAGCCTGGGGGGATGGTGGAAATTTATGCGTCGGATTGAACTAGAACATTTGAAGTGCACAATTAAATTTTTAGAGTGCCAACGAGCCACCTGCTTTTTCTCTCTTTGATTTCTCCTTTCAGTTAGTTTGATTTGATGACGTACGGAAACTGATCAGGTTTCAAGGAACATTACAAGCAGAATGATTTACTATGGCAATCCAATGAGTTAAGAACCTCCTTACACCAATAATGCATCACCTAGATGCGCGGTAAGGACAGTCGCCTCAGAATGCTAAAGGACAGTCGCCCGGCAAGTGACTGTTAGCCGTGGATCATTGCGAAGCGCAGAACACGCACATCAACGGCTGATAGTCACAAACATCAACAGCTGATAGTCACAAACAGTAACGCATACAGTAGAAGGGTTTTGGTAGATTTCACAGCAATGTTGTAAACCATATCAGTGCTTTCATTTAAACAAGATGTTAGTGTGTGTAGTCATATCCCATATCCAGAATCCTTTGTCACCGAATCAAATATTCACGGCAAACAATATACAATATGCAGACATGAAACTTTACATAAACGCAATACCGTATCTTTGGGAAGTCAAAGAGTTAGTTTGCTTGCTTGCTTGCTTGCATTTAGCCCTGCAGATAATCCCCAATCTCCGTATTAAAACACGAAATCTCAAATCTCAACACCCATGGGAAATCAACAAGTTCGAAAGACAGACCTGTTGGCTCAGAATCTCCACTGCCACATTAAGATCACCATCTGCAGCTGCTAGGGCAACTTCTACCTGTGTCTGTAGCCCATTACCAAGACGTCATTAGAAGATGTTCATACCAGAAAGCATGAATTAAAATGCTAATATCGTCTAAACCCATTCCAGATGCGTGGTAACATATTTCATATCTAATCTCCGCATCCACTTAACTCTATCGATATGAATCAATGCAGCTAACAGAATGCATACTATAGGATGGTTAGCTCATTCGATTAAGGAGAAAAACAGGGTGGTTTAACATCTTACCCTCTCAAAACCCATTGATACAAGCTTTTGGATTTCTTCTTCAGATGCAACATAATCCTGCAATCGAAAGACAAGTTAAACAAGAGACTTATATAAACCAGATGGACTGGAAGAACTGTCAAGGCAAACCCAAACGATTAATTAAAAAGACAAACCTGATGGTGTACAGGAATTTCTGCCGCTGCATTATTTAGTGTTGCCTGCCTGAAAATATCAAGAAAAGAGGTAATCCCATTTTCCAGCCAAATGCATACTGCTTACAATTGCTTTGGTTTACCTCATTTGCTAGAAGAATTTTGAGAACATTCTTACTATGAAGTAAACTATTTAGTAAAAAGGCAGCAGATGTAAACATCCAGAGAATAAATAATTCAAAGACGGTGAAAGATGCCCAAAACCAGATTTGGGAAGAAATCGCGTTCTTGCCTTCTTGGCAGAAATTTTGTGGTCAATTAAAAGACCTAATGGAACTCTTGGACTAAGAGAACAAAAAAAAAAAAAAAAAAAAAAAAAAAACCTTCGTAATCATTCTAGTATAAAAAGGCAGCTGTGGTTACACTCCTCTCTTATAAGTTTATAACATAACATAAGAGAGAAATTGCATAGGTAGGAGTGCATGATAATATTTTAACAAGGAAGAGTAAAAGAACAATAAAAGCACTATCCATGACCACAACACACTCATTAAGCTACAAGCATGCATTAAGTTTTTATACCTTCCATCAGATAAATTCTGTCCTGTACCAATAACTGCCACATCTGATGGATGTTCTGAGTTGCTATTGTCCAAGAGTCTAGCCTGTAAGTTTGATTCCGAATCAGCATCAGAAATGGTACCTCGACCAGATCCAAGTGTTCTTCCTCTCCCAGGAAACATGTGACCATCTTGTGCTGACTGCATTATTGCAATGGGAAGTCATCAAATTTAGTAACTTAATTTATATTCACCAAACATTGAGGGAATGGAATTACAATAAAGTGTGTATTTCAAAGATTGAATTAAGGTACAACACTCTTAACATCCAAGTGACATTTGATATAGAATATGGATCTTAAAGAGGGTCGGTAAGTAAAGGGTTTTCAACATTTACATCCTCAAAAGGTGAAAAACACAATACCTGTACAGATGTTTCCCTCTGTGGGATCCATGAAGACAAGTTTCTCCAGATACTTCCAGCAGAGAATCCACTGGTAAATAAAACATACCATTTGCAACTCTTATAACATTAATAACTGTAGTCTTTCAAGAAATCGAATTACCAAAATTCATTAGTCAAAAGAAAAGTAAAGGGAACAGAAATATTACTTACCTAGTGGGTGTACCTTGGGTTGAATATGTAGGGATGAAGGCAGAAGGATTCCCACCAGTGCACACAATAAATTTAGGCCGCCTCACACAACTTGACTGGAAGCATAAAGTTAAAAAAAATAAAAAGTAAAAATAAAAAAGATTAGGGATCCGTGCAATAAATGCATAAGTCCAATTAAATAAGACGAACAATAGTAAGTTTCCAAATTGATGAATCATCAAAAGCAGTTTACTCACAAATAATGAGGAGGCCTCAATTTTAGAATAAAAGGATGTTCCCGGAATGAGGAAATTTAATAAGCTGTAAGTATCTGTATTGCAAAGCCAACACAAAGCATTATCACCGACTTCCTCATGTGACACAACAAAAAAGAAACGGGAGATTAGAATGGCAGAAACTTACAAGCAAAGCCAGACAAAATGCCACATAGGTGTCCCAGTAAAGAAACATTTGGCATAACAACTTGGAACACTACCAGCAAGATCCATGCATACCTGAAACAGATTAAAGTAATCAATGTCAGATAATTAATAAAATATATGGCAATGTAAAAGAATAAGAATTAAACACGGCATAAGCATGTTACTGCCATTACCATTTAGCAGGTACATTGAAGAGTCCAAACACACTGCAGGGCAAAAAATGTTTGTGTGTTAGTAGAAGCCAATGCATTCTCCAGGAACAAACAAAAACAGCGAAAACAATTAAAATGTGCATCTATACACACATCTGCGCACAATTTAGTGCACCCATTGAATGATCGCATGAAAGGCTTCTAAATATCTTATTCTTCATTATATAAAAGATGAATAAAAATTATTCTAGGTAAGAGAAAGACAATACTTGAAATTTTCTCTCTTAAGCTAGACAATAGAAAAGTCAAATATGCTTGAAAAATTAAAAGCACTAACCTTCTAGACTGGTGTCCACTCAGACTTGTCTCTATAACAATCATAGAAAACAAGATTCCCGAGAAGCCTATTGCACATTCATCCATGAGGTACTGAGAAGGGTGAATAGGATTATAGGATACCAAAAGCGCAATCAGAAGATGTAATACTACATTGCTTATGGCCAATAGAATGATCATGTACAACAAGCGGACAGTTCCCATGATTCTCTCCAACTCAGAACCCAAAGGAACTAATGCCATCATGTTGAACAACACATGCAGCACTGAACCATGGAAGATAATGGAGGTGAAAATCCTGTAGACTGAACAAGAGGACAAAAGGTTGATGACCATTGGATGAAATCGGTTTGCATACAAAAAAGGCATATATTTTTTCTATCAGCTGAATAAATCCCACAAATATAACTTTCATAGATTAATTAATTTAAAAGTAGATACTTTTGATAGAGAAACAAAATGTAGTTAAAATGAGCAGAGATTCTCTATTTGATTTCAAAATGGGCCAGACAGGTGACCCTAAGGTTGTGCTAAAGCCTGACGTTAGGGGGACTAAATTACGGATTGTTAGGTAGGCTTAATATATAGGTTTACAACAATCATGATCGGAAATACTGTTTTGAAAAGACTACTAAAAGGTTTCTACGTCAGTGTGCAGGGGTTATATAAAGCATAATCCAAAGGTAGCAACCAACTACGTTAAGCAGCACCGGTGTTAAAGCCACTTGATCAGGAACTATAATTTAAAGTATCCACATTCACGTAACACACTATCTCCAAATGTTAGAAAAATAATGACGATACAAGACCATCAAATAGTTCATCACTGTAAGTATTAAATATAAAGCAATAATCTTGAACAAAGTCATTAATATGTTCATTAGTATAAACCATAAAGCCCCAGTGCTCATAAAATCTGTGATCAAATCATATACGAAATTGCACAAAAACTTGAACATAAGTTGGAAGAGTGGACCTAAGGTGTTTTGTGGTGAAGTCAAATTTTAGTTGCATAATCAAAATTGAAGCAATCAGAAAAACAAGAAAACAAAAGACATTAATTGCAAGGTCCACAAGAGTATCGGGAAGTGAACAATCGAGAATAATAATTCTAGAATGAGGGACAAGGAAGTGCATGTTTAACCCCGGGAAGGAGGGTGGCAAAGCTCTACTTCTTTCTAATAACTAAAGATTACCACACTGACAATGAAAAAATTTACCTTGGAATCGGGATACAACATCAGAGGGCGAAAAGCACACTTCGTAAAAGGAATCATATCCAACCAGGAGGCAAACCAAGTAAATAGTCACGCACACGCCGACCACCGCTGAAGTAAGGAAAGGAATGCTCTCCCACCATTGCCTCAACCTAGTTTGCAGCCCTGCCTATACATACACCCAAACATACAATCAATCTCAAATTCACTATAACCCAAACAAACACACATACAAACCATATTACACACTAATTTCAGCATAATTCAATTAAACAAAATGTAATTAAAGAAAATTTAGGGTTTCCAAATTTTAAACAGAGTTGATCCAAGTTTCATGATGCTGAAGCTAAACACAACAAACAAAACCGAATCGAAATCAAACATGAAAATATCACTCAGAAAGCAAACTAAAAGTTGAGAAGCTCAAAGCAGCTAAGTTTACTGTTAATATCTACCTCCTCATTTCGTAGTTAACAAAAAATAAAAAACAAAATTCCGGTTTCCATTTCTGCATTTTCTCAGCAACCAAACGGAAGATAGGAGAAAATACTGGAATTTTCTCGGGAAAAAGGGGAAAAGAGAGGTAGATCGGATATGAGAATTTACCTCGGAAACGATGTTGGGTCTCATTTTTCTTGGTCGCTCTCTCGGTCTTTCTCCGAGTGAGTCTGACTTGGTTTTGAAACAATCGCTTTGTATTTGCGTTGTGCGGGGATCTCGAATTCTCCCACATCCGCGAACAGTCTTTTTCCCCTCGGATCGTTGAATACGGGCGGGTCGGGATCCACAAAACAAATCGGGTTTGAGATTGGGTTATTTTAGGATAGTGATATTTACACACTTATTTTTACTTCTTGCACACCTCTCCTAATTATTGATCTCAGATCAAACGAATTGATGAAGATAAAAACTAAAAATTAATAAGGATGTGTAAGAGATAAAAACGAATGTGTGAATATCACTATTCTTTTTTATTTTATTTTTGTGTTTGGATTTCCAGGGGTGACTATGAGTTGATACAAAAACCAAAGATGTTGAAAAGTTGAGTAGGATGAGCATAAGGGAAATATACCTGATGATGGAAAGAGCTATCTATGCGGAGGAGGAGTTGCAGGAAATATCTGTAGAATATCAGGATATGTGGGAATACCTGGAGGATATGTCTGCGAGGGGAGAGAAACCTATGACAGCTAAGGAAGCGGGAAGCCAATCTCGGGGTGATGGCGGCTGGCCTTCAATAGCCACAAGGTCACCATGATACACCTGTTTTGGAACTGTTGTGGTATGGGGTTGGACACGGTAGTTTGGGCCCTACATGAGCTTATCAGGAAATATAGACTCTCTATGATTTTTCTATCGAAAACAAAAGTGAAAGATCATAGAATTGAAGGTGTGAGGCGGCTTATGGGGTGTTTGAATGGTTTTAACGTAGCTCTGATTGGGAGAGCGTGTGGTTTGAGTTTTTGGTGGGATAACTCAATCATGGTGGAGATCTTGGATTCCTCCAAGCACTTTATTGATGCTAGATGCAATTTCAGAGACTCCAATGGGAATTTCAATGTATGGGAGTCTATGGCACGTCTTATCGCTTGGAGAAAAATGAGTTTTGGAGAGGGATGGTTCAGAAGTTCAACCCTGGTAATATCCCTTGGATATATGGTGGTGACTTTAATGAATTTTTATGGGAGTGGGAAAAGTCGGGTGGAGTGGAAGTGAGATACAATAGAACTCGGTGCTCAAAGGATTTCATGGGTAAAATTCAGGTGATGGATTTGGGCTTTAAGGGACCGGGGTTCACTTGGAGAGGAACGAGGAATGGGCAACTGGTGGAAGCTCGGCTTGATAGAGGTCTTGTCAACGGCCATTGGTAGTCATTATGGCCAAACACCATTGCTACTCATTGTACGGTGCTGGGATCGGACCACTATCCTATTTTGATATAGTGTGAGCCGAATGAGATGAAAAGGAAAAAACTCTTTGGCTTTAAGGCTTTTTGGGCAAAGAAAATGATTGCCGAGAGGTCATCCAACGATGCTGGGGGATGTGGCGGAGTAGTGATAGTATGGAGAGATGGTCTGGGAAAATTAATGATTGCCACAACAAATTATTGAGATGGAGTCGAAGGAAATTCAAACAGAAAGGGCAACAAATTGACGAGATGATGAAGAAATTTGGGTCCCTTCAAATGGATTGGGGAGCTAATGCGCAAGAGATAGAAGTGCTCATGAAGAGGGTGGACCGATTGTGGAGTTAAGAGTAGAGCTTCTGGCAACAGAGATTGCGAGTTAAATGGCTCCAAGATGGAGATGCTAATACCTCGTTCTTTCACCAATCTACAATGCAAAAAAGACGTAGAAACAAAGTCGTCTCTTTAAGGGATAGAAGTGGGGGTTGGGTGGACAACCCACTAGTGGTAAGGAACATTATAAACAGCCATTTCACAAATCTCTTTACCTCGGTGGGGCAGCGGGATTGAGGTTCGAACTTGGATTGCGTCACCCCTAAAGTCACTGTGGAGATGAATAAGACCCTTACTACTTCGGTTTTGATGGAGGAGGTTAAGCATGCGGCTTTACAAATGGGTGGCCTAAAAGCCCCTATACCTGATGGCTTTCAGGGTATCTTCTACCACTCTTATTGGGATATCATCTTGAATGATGTAAATGAGCTAATTGTGGACTTGATGACTGGTAGACAAACCCCAAACTATCTGAATGTTACTCATATGGTGTTGATCCCCAAGGTGTCAAGCCCAGAAAATGTAAACCAGTTCTGTCCCATAAGTTTGTGTAATTACTCATACAAGGTTCTGTCAAAAGTGATGGCGAACCGTCTGAAACCACTTTTGCCGACATTGATTTCTACAGCTCAAAATGCATTTGTTGTAGGGAGACAAATTCAAGATAACATTGGTATTGCTCATGAGATTTTCCACTTTCTCAAGTTGAGGAATACCAAAAGAAAATTCGAACTTGGAGTTAAATTGGATATGCATAAAGCATACGACAGCGTGGAGTGGGATTTCTTAATGGCGGTGATAGAAAGATTGGGGTTCAATAGTAATTGAAGGAATCTCATAATGAGATGTATATCATCGGTGAACTTTGCAATTTTGCTTAATGGTCAGCCTGGCGATAAATTTGCTCTTTCCAGAGGTCTTCGCCAGGGAGATCCTCTATCCCCGTACTTATTTTTGATGGTGAGTGAGGTATTTTCTCTACTTATGCAGCAGGCAAGTGAGATGAAAGGAATTTAAAGGATACAATTGAATCGCAACAGTTCGGCCATTTCTCATTTATTTTTTGTGGATGATACTCTCATTTTTCTAAAGGTAGAGAAGGATAATTGCCGAAATCTAGTCTGCTTAATTGATGAGTATTGCTTTGCGTCGGGCCAACAAGTTAACTTACATGAGTCAAATGTGTTCTTCGGTCATAATGTTCATGCAGGTTGGGCGAATAAGTTAACAGGTATTTTGGGAATGGACAAGGTTGATGACCCCAGGGTGTACCTGGGTGTCCCGGCAGTTTGGGGCCGCTCAAAAAAATGTGGCTTGGCTTATGTAAAGGGCCGTCTTTTCGGGAAATTGCAAGGCTAGAAGAAGTCTACTCTATCAACTGCAGGAAGAAAGGTTTTGATCAAAACGGTGGCACAAGCTATTCCAGCATATCCTATGAACCTTTTCAAATTCCCCATAACTTTCTGCAAGGAGCTTAATGCTATGATAGCTGACTTTTGGTGGGGACAAAAAGACGGAGAACATCGGATCCATTGGGTCTCCAAAGAGAAGCTGTGCTTTTCTAAAGCTGATGGTGGGCTTGGGTTCAAAAATTTTGTGGACTTTAATTACCCTCTACTGGCAAAGCAATGCTAGAGATTAATTTCTGAACCGAATTCCAAGTGGGCAGAGGTGCTTAAAGCACGATACTTCCCCAATTGTTCGTTCCTGGATGCGGAAAGGGGTGGCAGAGCATCGTGGGCTTGGTCTAGCCTATTAGCCAGCAGAGACATATTACTTGGGGGAGCACATTGGCAGATTATGAATGGAAATGATGTGCGGATTTAGATCGATAGATGGATTCCTTCCATTCCGTTGGGTCGACCATCGCTGACGGGGGAGGTACGGGTAAGCCGAAATACAAGGGTGAATTCTTTATTAAGTTTGGAGACAGGTGGATGGAACATCGAATTTTTACAATCGTTTGTGTTGGCTAAGGATTATGATGCCATGTTAGAAACTCCGATCGGCAATCCGAAGCTTAGTGACAGATTAGTGTGGCCTTTTGAAAAGAGGAGAATTTTTTCTGTTAAGTCAGGATACCATTGGGCAGCCTCGAGGAGACCATCTAATAGAAGCTCGAGTTCATCGTCCTCTACATCTTTTCCCAGCTCTCTCTGGAAGGCTATATGGACCATACATACAACACCAAAGGTTCGATGCTTCATGTGGAAAACCCTTCACTTCGCCATTGCAACCATGACGAACTTATTCAATAGGAGATCGGCACAATCCCCTGTTTTCCCATTATGTTCTTTACACGAGGAGTTGGTGGAGCACTTATTCCTTATGTGCCCGTGGGTTGAATTAGTTTGGTTTGGGGGTATTCTTAATTTAAAAATTAACCGTGCTCTGATCACTACCTGGGCAGAATGGCTAATTGACATTTCTAGGATAAATGGAGGTTCTAAGTCAAAGGTTACAACGAGGCTCTCCTATATTGGCTTCACATGTTGGCAAATCTGGAAGGCTCGTTGCAATGCGTTGTTTAATCATGTTCCGGTTAACCCAAGACAGGTACTCATCTCAATCGCCAACATGGCTAGAACTTTCAATGAAGCTGCTTGCCCGGTGCGCTGCACCTCTCGGCTTAGTTCCCCTGGTGCTATTGAGGTCCATTGGTCTCCGCCTTGTCCTGAGTTTATCAAATCAATGTTGATGCCAGTTGGAGGCCAAGTTTGCAGGATGGCTTTGCTAGTGTGGTTGCGTGGGATATTGAAGGAAACTTTATGGCAGCTTGTTGATACTCCATCAAAGCATCCAATGCAGTGTTGGCGGAAGCAAATGCGTTTCTCCATGGATGCGAATTGGGTATCTCCCGGGGATAGAACTCGGTGATCATCGAATCTGATTTGATGGAATCCATTGCCAGCCTCAGGAATACTTCAACTCTTGGCAGTTGGGAAGCCTTCCCCATTCTTAGGAAATGTAAAATACTGGGGGATAATTCCCAAACTTGTCGCTGGTCTTGGGTTCCAAGATCGGCCAATCATGCGGTAAACTTCATTGCGTCGAGATAATGTAGGGAGATGTGTGATGTTATGTGGGTTTATTGACTTCCATCTTCCTTTGTTCATGTTCTTTGTAATGATGGACTCCCATGCCCTCCCTAAACACCCCGGTAGTGTGAGTGGTGACATTTTTAGCATTGGATGCGGCGTCATTGCTCCTTGGACCACTCGCACTACTTTATGCTTTTGCTGGTTTTCAGCTGTTTGCCTTGTTGTAGGCTCTCTGTATTTCTCTTTGACTTCTTTGCCCTAGTTCTATGGATTCCAGTTTCCAAAAAAAAAAAAAAAAAAAAAAAAAAACCTTTAGAATTTCCCCAACTCACCATAGACAGGTGCAGTATCTATCCAATAATATGATATCACCAAAGTTCTAAAACACATTAGACACTAGTCTCGCGGTGAGCACGGGCCTAACGCTTAGGTGGCTAGGAGGATATCATATAAAAAAGTGTTTACTTATACTTTAAAAATACATAATTTCATTGGGATAAAAAATTGCAAACTAAGATGACAAATAAATGATAAAGTAATAGAACATAATGACCTTATTTGGCAATTCTGACTGTACTGACTATTTCTATCAGATAAGATAAATAGCCACCGGATAGTACTGACTAAATTAGTCGAGCCTTTGGTGCAGTATCAGACTAATGACCGTATTATTTATACTGTGTTTAGTATTATACCGGATAGGAGGAATCAAACTTAAAATAAAAAAAATTAAAAATAAAAAAACTGAAAATCATCTTTTTGTTTCCAGATCTCTCTGCACCCCCAAACTCCCTCCTTCTTTCTCCCTTCTTCTTCTTCCCCTACTGCAGAAGAATCCCAAATAATTGTTCCCTAGATCTCTCCGCCGCACCTCCCAAACTCCCTCCCTCTTTCTCCCTTCTTCTTCTTCCCTGATTGTAGAAGAATCCCAAATAAATTCAAACAACCAGTTACAGATGAATCCCAAATTGAAATCATCTCTCTGCTGCACCATGTTTCTTTGCAAGACCCAGTTGCAGGGGAGGATGGTGAGTAGGCGATGAGGAAGGCCACAAAGAGAGGACGACGAGGAAGGCGATGAGGACTAGGAGAGCAGAGATGGCGAGAGAAAGCAGCGGCGAGAGAAGGCAACTGCGAAGACGGTGATGGCGAGAGAAGGTGACGGGGAGGACGGCGATGTCGAGAGAAGGTGAGAGAGAGGGCCGAGTTCGCGAGAAAGGCGAGCAAAACCGACTAATAATAATCCGAGCCTTTTGGTTGGTTTTATTAAGCAAACATATACTGTGTTAAATAAGCAGACCATTTAAATTAATTCGGTGCTTATTTAGTACGAGTGAACACCAAACACCCGAGTCAGTATAACTAGTCCTATCTGATCCTTTATCCGATCTGCCAAATAGGGGGAATGAAAACATGGGAGAACTTCATATAATATGTGTTCATCTAAGTAGTCAACAAGTCTTTTACAATTTATTAGAAACAATGAAACACAAAATGAAAATTATTTACTTTTTGTCTAAATGAGAGTTGTGACCTAGGCTGGGGTGCCTAAGCAGGAATGAACAGGCAAGGCAGGCGCCAAAGCAGGTCTAGATGCCCATTCTTCGTTTTCAAACATGTAGAAATTAATGAGAACGGTGACCGGCCACCTAAAATATAATTGGAGCCTAGACGAGGTCTAGACGACGTTAGGCGAAGGTTTTAAAACAGTAGATATCACGTGCCCCACTAAAGCACATGGTTTAATCTTTAAAAGAAGAAAATAGAGAAAAATAATTAAAAAATAAACTCGACAACTGTTGCATCTCCGAACCTTTTGCCCTGCGCCGTTCTTTTTGCTCAGCGATTCAGCAGGCCCCTCCGGCGCCATTTTCTTGTCATTCGCAAGCTCTCTCACACCCGCCCGAAACTCCAACATCCAGGTCATTGTTCATCCCTTACCCCATCTCTGCAACTTCCCGTCCCTTATAGCTGATAGCTTATAGCTTGTCGCTCTCATCACATCTACTACTGACTATCAAATTCAGTTTGTATGTCACTTCTTAATTCTTCGTTCCGTTATTCTTTTAATAAGAATCAGAATTGAATTTTTAGTTGGGTTTGTGAATTGAAATTGGAAATTTTGAATCACAAAATTTGGTTTAAAGGCGATTAATTAAGTCCCTTTCTTGCTATTTTTTTTCTCTCATTTTTGTAAATTTATTTGTAGAAACATATGGGGTTAGTCCCAATACTTACATAAATTTATGCAATATTTGGAAGAAGAAAAATTGAGGTCCAGTCAAATAAAGTTCAAATTTTTAATCTAATATGTAGATACAACAACAAGCTTTATTCCACTAGGAGGGATCGCCTATATGAATTTTACAACGCCACTGCACTTGGTTATATATCAACATATTTCATCCTCAAAAGGAATTTATGTATGCATTAGTTTTCATCTTCTTGTTCTTCTGTTCTTGTTTTTAATTTTAACGACATATTAGTTTATGTTCGATTTTGAAATCTTTAAATGTTTTTTTCTGTTTCTGTTTGTTCTATTACTTGCCATGTTTTCGGATAACTTGGAGTTGTAGACTGTGTTTGTCAGAGTAGATCGGCAGATCGTAGTTTGATATGATCATATAGATTTGATATGGTATGGGTTCCCAAGTTCTTTTGAGCAATTTTAAAGGAGAAAAAACATAAGAAGTATCTGCATCAACTAGTTGAGAATTTGGATTTAAGCTAGTTAGTTAGAAGTAAATGGAATCGTTACCGCTCGATAAGGCTTCGGTTGAATTTTGTTTTGCTATCATCTGAACTGGTATATAGTTGAAATGTAACAAGAACTCACATGCAATCGGCTGTTTTGCTGCACCAGGCAATAGTGAAATGGTTTGGTTAGTCTGGGAAAAGTGTCCCATAATATCATAAATCTACTTTTCAACTCTTTTGGGTCACATAATGTTTCTCATAAGGCGTGATTTCATTCTTTTATGATCCAACTTGCAACAATCAGCTCAATATGTTGATAATTGTTGCTATTTCAAGCCAAACTGAAACGGAAAACAATTGAAATTTTGAAAAATATCCAGTTTGTATGGAAGAGGGTGGGCCTTGGCGCAACGAAAGGTTGCTCCTTTGTGACCAAAAGGTCATGGGTTCGAGTCGTGGAAACAGCCTCTTTGCAAAGCAAGGGGTAAGGCTGCTTACGATAGACGTTCCTCCCCCAACCCTTGGAAAGTGGGGAGCCTTGTTGGCTCGGGATTGCTCTTTTTTTATTCGGTTTGTATGGAAATTGAATGATGGTTGCTCCTAATATTTTTGCTAATCATGTTTATGTACAGATTCCAACATGTGTTCAAGGTATACTCATTAGTGCTTAACGCTCCAATGGACTATCTTGTAAGTTTCCCCTAGCAATTGTCAACTCTAAATGTTTTTGTCATTGTTATCCTCATTCCTGTTTTTGTATGATAAGTCTGTTATTTCTTGTATTTGTTTAATGTTCTTTTCTTTCAGGGTTCTGAAAAAAGTACGTCTAGCCGGATTGGGGACCGATCAACCAGTGATGTTGTTGTGAGGATACGCACAGAGGATGGGCGGGATGATCGGCTATATTGTCATTCCCAGATCCTCATGGAAAAGAGCAAGTATTTCGCTGATCGCCTATCTGAAAATTGGCCAACATGTCAGATTCTTGACTCACGCAACTGCGTTGACGTATACTGCCAAGAATCAGAATTTGACCACCATGTCATTGTTCTCCGCCTTTTTTACGTCGCAGTAGATGGCTTAGTTGGTAACTTGTGGCATGGTGTAAAAAACGCCATTGGAATTCTCCAGGTGGCTGTCAAGCTTGGATGCCCACAAATCATAACTGCTTGTGTGAACTACTTAGAAGCAGTTTCCTGGGAAGAGTCCGAGGAGGAGGACATTTTAAAGATCGTACCACGCCTGGGATCACAAGTGGAGCCAATTCTTGCCCGTCTTCTTCCAGTCAATCACTCATCAATTATGGGGATATTTTTGTCAACCATCCGATTTGCCACATCGTGCCCTCCTCCAATCATGAATGATCTCAAGTCTTCTGCCCAGGAGCAGCTTGAGTACATGATTACTGAAGATGATGATGCCCCGCTCTTAACAGCCGATGATGGGATCAAATCCGAGGTGAAAGAATGTGTGAATAGATTATTTGGAAGATTTAGTAATCTATTAGAAGCCTTGTTATGTGAAGTAGAATTATCTTCTGATGGAGGGAAGATGCAGTCGTTTCAAACATTTTTATCAGATCTGTCGTGGGCATGCCAGATATTAACTAAGTTGGAAACTATGAGGGAACTTGTCTGCAATTGGATGGATGCATCGGATAAAATAGTTAACGTTGTAAAGCAAGCAAGGCCGACAGCTGAACTAATTGAGACAAAGCTTAGGATTGTTGAGGTTGCAGCAAAGATTCTAGAGGCAATAGGTTACGGCACTGTCATTTTGCCAACTGCAAAACGGCTTCATATGGTTAAGGTGTGGCTTCCTTTTGTGAGGGTTGCGAAACCAGTGATCGATTCTGCCACAACTACCGGTGATGACGCTCCTGCACTAAAGATGGATAGTGAACTGTGGCAATCCTTGGAATCCACATTTGTTTCCATAATTCTTACGCTTCCATCCGTCGAGCAGGCGGAGATATTGACTGAATGGTTGGAGAATGAACATATTCAATATCCTGACCTGACCGAGGCATTTGAGGTATGGTGTTACAGATCCAAGGTTTCCAAAAGAAGACTATCATTTATATCGGTGAACCATGAGAAAATCGATACACATTAAGTCATTAACCTCTTCATTTGATCCTTTTCAACCATTTTCGTACTGATTTCTCGGACGCCCTTTCTTAACCAATGTGTTTTACGAAAAATTGGGGAGATTGGGGAAAGACCGCAGGAAGTAGATGGAATATTTGAATTAGTAGCTCGAGGGTGTCATATGTCATTTGATTTCGGGTCTCATGACTCCGATGCAATATGAGAGCTTCCGCCGACATCTTTCTAGTATCCATCTATGACTGGCAGGCAACAAAGTTTGATGCCGAGCAGTGAACCATCCACAGAACTGATAAGCGAAGCCCGCCAAAACCCAGTTCAAACATTTTTCCATCCAAATCGTTGCAGCTTGAAGCATCCTCTGTGCGCAAGACTCACCCATTGATCCTGACCCTGTGCTGTGCAGATTTGAGTTATCAGTTTGAAGGAAGAAAGAAATTTTCCAAGCACCCCTGACCCTGTAAACGCCAGACTTTAATTACCGAATATTTGTTCATAACCATCGGAACACCTACAATGCTGTAACTTCACAGCTAGCTTTCTCTGAAACACCATATTCCCAAAGCTAATTAGTCTGAAGCCAACGGAAAAAAGAAATTGAATGAAACTATTTAAATTTCGAGATTCATTGTTTTTACACCACATGATAGTGAGTGAACTAGATATACAGACTCGGTCCGGTCGTACCAGGTCAGCTCAAGGCATAGCATAATGCGTAGGTAAGGCGAGACTTCTTTGAGAGTGGCCTTACAGGTTGGCAATGGTTGAGGAGGGTAATACAAGCCAATGAGAAGGGCGGGCTCCAAACTCATCAATCAGTGTTGCTTTGTAAGCAATTAGAGCTCAGGGAGGCAGGCACAAGCTGCAGGGCCAAATCAATTAAACCAAACCAACTTAACGGCAATCAATGGGAGGTGAACATCACCTTAGCACGGGGGTTGAGCAAAGTTGAACTCTTTATACTAGCACTTTGTCAGATAAAAAGGAATCTTCATTGGCAGTTGACCAATTTTGTATATGAATTGGGATTGAGTCTTGTGCTTTTGAATCTTTATCGGTAGTTCATCAAATCTTTTGTCATAACTTGTAATAGGCAAATTGCACAAATGGTGATTAGGAGAAAGGATTAGTACCAACATCCTTCATATAACAGTGGATAGATCAGACCACCAGCAAGTCCACTAGTTGGGACAACCAAGGTTCTAAAAGACATTACACGTTAGTCGAGCGGCAGGTTCGAACCTAGCGCTTAGACGGCTAGACAGGGTCTAAGCGGGCGCCTAGGCAGAGTAGACAGATTTAAGTAAATTTATTATATTTCGTGTAAATAAGTATCCGTTTATACTTAAAATATATATAATTTCATTATAAACTACAAAATAGAATGACATATATATATATATATATTATAAAGTATTGAAACCTAATGAAAACATGGGAAACAAACATATAATGTGTGTTCATTTAAGTATTCAACAAGTCTCTTACAATTTATTGAAAAAGAATAAAATGCAAAATGAAAGTTATTTATGTTCTGACTAAGTGAGTCGCAACTTAAGCAAATGCCTAGAAGGAGACGCCTCAATAGGTTTAGGCGCTCTTTCTTAATTTTCAAATGCCTTGGCATTAATCGAGGTGGTGGTCCGCCGCCTAGCGTCTAGTCGGGGATTTTTAGAACAGTGGGGACAACAAAATGCTCATCAAAAGAGAAACTAAATATCGACTAAACTACGTACCCCGGAGGAAATGGAATCAGAATCCACCCGCCAACGATTTTCAGATCAAGACACCGTCAACGATTCTCAAATCCGTATCTGACACAGAAACGGATAATTGGAACCTAAACCCTAATCCACTTCTTTCAGAACTCTGTTCAGATGATCCCATTCCAGGTCACCGATTTCTACAGTGACTGAATCCTCATTATTCATGTAAGCCAACAACTTTTCCTGAGTACTTTCGGGGAAACTACACTTCTCCCCGAGTAGTCGTATAAATTCTTCAGCTCCCTCCACATCCGCTTTCTGTTTCATGTATTCCATACAGGCAGCCACAACATCCCTGTCTGGCGTCCACCGTGACCCCTCAACAACTGCAAGTGCTTTCCTCATCGACTCAACTGTCTTCTCAGTTTGGTCATGATTGAGATAGCCCTTTGCCAGATAGTACCAAGTCTTTGCATCCGGTTTCGCACCCTTTAGCACTATCCTGTTAACAATGGATTCAGCCTTGTCAACTAGGCCCTTTTTGGTATAAGCACTGATCAAGAAATTTGGGATACGAATATCTGGAGTTAAATTCTTGGATTCCCATTCGTCATAAATCTTCTCGGCACTTTCAATGTCGCCAATCTTCAAGACCGAGGTTATTACACTTATATAACCCCTATTGTATATTTTCAAGTCCTTCTTGTATAGTTCCCACAGTCTCATAACACTATCTTTCTGCCCTAGTGCTGCATATTGTGTCATAAGGTACTCATATGCTTCCCTCTTTCTTTTAGAACTTGGTATCAGTTTCTCAGCCTTCTCTAGCATTGCCAGAGCCCTTTCCACATTTTGTGTTTTCGTATAACCATTTGCTGCATTGGTATAACTATCCCATTCCATATGAACCTCGGGATTGGATTCCCACTCTGCCATAACCTTGTCAATTCCCTCAAGATCAGAAGCAGCTGCACATACATTGAGCTGGATACCATAAGTGTATTTGTCACGACCAATGCCCCTCTCTTCCATTTCACTCATTAGAACATTGAATTTGTCAGTGTTTCCAGTCCGATAATACAAATTGAGCAAAATGTTGTAGGACAACAGTGTCCTAGCAAACCCCAAATCCCTCATCGTCTGCATAATTTCCTCAGCCTTTTCCACAAGTTTTGCATGAGCAAAGATGTTCAGTAGAGCACAGTAAACATCCCGACCTTTCAACTGTTTTGGAATGTTGTTAAAATAATCCTCAGCTTGTTTTATTCCATGAACTTTTCCAATCAAATCAAGCCTGATGGCAACATCGGGAATCGTAAGCTCGAAGTACCGTTTATCAGACAACCACATTGATACCTGCAAATAAATAAACAAAATCAAACTTTCAGAAGTTGGGTTGCCACTTGATAATATACTAGACAAGACAATCACTCTCCAGAAATCCAAGTATCAAGATGATGAAACAGATGGAAGCTTGACCACTTGGGGTGGTCTTATTTTGAATTCTAATCATGGCTCTCAGAGTTAACAGTCTAAATGAATATGAGCTCCTTCTAAGGCCTGGTTTGGTACTGAGGTGATTCTGAAAAAAAATGATATCAAAAAAAGCTGGGAGTTGTTTTTGTGTTTGGTAAACTTCAGCTTCAGTTTTTTTTCATAGTTTTGGGTGAAAAAAAGCTAAAAACAAGAAGCTGCAAAACCCAGCTTTGAAAAACCGGCTTTTTTTCACATCTATTTTACATAAAAGTTTACCAAACACTATAATACTACTTTTTTTTTCAAAAACACTTTTACAAAAAAAGTTTACTAAACACTCTGCTGCTTTATTTCACAACTGCTTATTCTCACAGCACAGCAGGAACAGCTTTTTTTCAAAGCACAGCAATACCAAACCAGCCCTAAGAGGGATCCCCTTCCATTCTTGGAGCGAGATAGGACAGTGCCCTTGTATCGGCTGTCTCGTGACCATGTATTGATCATACAACAACCATATATAATGGGGCTAAAAAGGGCCAAACACTGAACTTTAAATGGCCACTACATGGTCAATACATGGCCTCGAAATGGTGGATATGAGGGCACAATCCTATTCCGCTCCAATAGAAGGATCCCTCTTATACGGTTTCATTTAGGTCAGAAGGGTTCCATTCAACGGCCATATTTCAATATCCTTCGGGTGACATCATCAACGCAATTTATTCCTTCTTTTGTAAGCATCGACCAAAGCCACTCACTCTGGCACTCAGTCATTCCCACGTCCCATTTTTTATGTGCTTTTCTTTGAACTTAAGATTTCGATGCCTTACATGAAGTGAGTTTTTCGTTATGTGATGTTTTAATTCAATAATATTATGTTATGTAGAAAAAAAACACGTGATATGTCATTATTGAAAAGAGTTGTTAATGAATTTATTTGAAGCAAGATGACTTTTTATTTAGTGTATAAAGGACACGTGTGAACCAGAACAACACATTTCAGTAAACTTGTTCAACGTGAGTTGCTTTTCTCAGTATATATTGATGTGACCATGCTCTCGTTTTAAATCTACAGATCGAACCTAAAACCTCTCCCTTACAAACGAAGAGGAATACCACTAGACCGTAGTACTAAGTGGCAGATCAAACTGTTGTTTCAAGCTCCAACTTAGACTGTTATTCAGGAAGCCGTGGTTATAAATTTGGGTTTAGTGCCTAATAGAAGCCTTGTTCGAAATTATAGAGTTGGTAAATTCGTTTGGTCCATGGCATGTTTAATTTAGTTAAACATAACCAAGATAACCAAAAAAATCAGAGGCCTAGATAGTTCAGTTTAAGGAAAAATTAAACAGATAAAATAAACAAAACACATTTCCAAGGACAGAAAACCACAAAATTAATTAATCAGAGCAAAGCTTAATTATTCCTTTGTTTACAAAGCATTAGAAAAAGGATCCAAGTGGAAGAGAAAAGAGAAAAATAATAACAAAGATGGAAATTTGCTGGGGTTTTTTGGGTGATCATCCAACACCACTAGGCTCTTCTGGATACAGGTATCTATCTCATCATTTTCTACTTTTCATTTTTCAAACTATGCCCTATAGGTCTGTCTATATGCAATCAAACTCTGATAGGAAAACAATTAAGCTACCCTATTAGCACAACTTCAATCCATTGACACTTCAGTTTCGCCGATTTCAACAGAATATTTGATAAATTAAGTAAAAACCTGAATGAGAACTCGAATTTATTAGACCCTATAACACTTTATTGTGGGGCCAAAACAGGGCAAAAACACTGAGCTATAAACAGTCACTAAATGCATTCAAAAGGAGATAGAAAAACAATTAAGCTACTCAATTACCACAATTTCTATCCATTGACAATTCAATGCCACCGAGTGCAACAGAATATTCATTAATTTAACTAAAAATTTGAATAAGAACCCAAAATTATTTTCATTTCCACATTTTCCAGGCAACCAAACAGAAAATAGAAAATACTAGTACCTCAAGAGCGTGCTTGTGCTTCTTGTACTGCCTGAGCTCCTTGATGATGGTAACGAGAGCATCTTTGTGTGCGGTTCGGCCTTCTTCGACCCATTTGTCGAGAATCGGCGTAATGGGGGCCGCCGGATCTCCGGCGCGAGAAATCCGACGGTAGAGGGTGTTCAGTGTGCCTCTCCAGGATTCTCTGTAAGGCCGGGGATACGTCTCCGTCGAGTAAAGCGAAACGCCCGGTACTTTTCGGAAACCGAAACGAGAGTAGAAATTGAACAGCGACGACAGGCGAGAGCGGTTCATTTCGGAGAGAGAGCAAGTGGCGGGGTCAAAACTGGGGCTTAAACGAAGAGAATATGATGAACTACGAGGAGAAACGACGTCGTGTCCACATGAACAACAAAAGAAAATTAAATAAATGGATTTCTAATTTTAATTTAATTGAAGTAATGGCCGCTTAGCTAAAATCCATAACCATTCCTTAACTCATAAAAACATGGTCATTTTCGTCAACTTTACCAGAATTTCGTCAAAATGAATTATGTTAGAATAACTATTGCTATAATTGGGTTAAACTTGAAAGATCATTGTCATAATTTTTCTTGTTTGATTTTTCATATTTGTCTCTTGATTCAGACTCACTTGCCTAAGCGACTCATTTTAGCAAAAATTCTAAAAAAATTGACAAAATAAAAAATACTATAATTGCACGTTTTAATAAATTAAAAGACTAATAAGCACAAATTTTTAATTATATAATTTTTACTCTAATTAAATTAAAATTTAGAAATTATTGTTACAATTTCTACTAAATAATAAATAAGCCTAAAGTACTTTACATTTCCATTTTCCCTGAATTTTATCTATTTACCGATTTGCCCGTGAACTTTGACACATCGGTCGGTGGATGTGAAATAGATACAATAAGAAGGGCAAAACAGTAAACCCAACCCAAACCCTAGTCGACTAAACTATATTAACTCTCTTGAGCGATTCAACACACCCTTAGCAGCGCCGTTCCTTCGTCTTGAGCGATTCAACACACCCTTTTCCGACGCCGTTTTTCGTCTTCTCCAAGCTCCTGCAGTCACTTCTGAAACTCCAACCTCCAGGTCAGTGTTCATAGCTTATCTCTGTAATTGCATCTGCCATCGCAATGTATATTTTGTCTTAATTCTTCCTTTATGTTATTCTTTTAATTAGAATTAGGTTTGGATTTTTTTTTCGTCCTTCTACTAATTTTTTTGTTTAATTTTTGTTTGTTTGTCGAAATTTTGGTTTAATTGTAGAAAAATATCGTTGGGTTTGGTCCCTTACACTCGATTTTTATTTTGTTTCTTTTTTTTTAATATCGCAATAATTAAGGAACTGTCAATAGTGATTATGTAATCTGATATACTGGTTTTCATATTTCTTTATATTACTTTTTCGGAGGAAGTTCGATCATCTGAAAGTTACTTTGCAGCTCAATTGTTAATGGAAGCTACCAAATGCCATTATTTTTTATACCCTATTGAGTTTTGTTGCTCTATCGGAAGACGTAACACAGAACCGAGCGCAATGATGTTTTAGGATTCGATAGCCGACCCCATTTAGTGGGAAAAGGTTCTGTTGTTGTTGTATTGAGTTTTGTTGCTCTGTTTGTGGTGGGTCTTGAATCTTAACTTTTGTTATACTTATTATCCTAAATTCATAATGCTTTGTAAACCGGTCTGCCCTCGTGATCTCATGAGGCTGGCGGGATTTCGCTTTCCATTTTACCTCTTTGGTGTTGTACTAGTTGGTTTGTTCTGTTTCTTGTTTTACAAACTAAGATAAGAGGCATAATTTTGCATTGTTGCTTTCCTTTACCCGCTAACTTGTTGCATATATGTTGTATTTCAATATATTTCTCATACAACTCAGCCTGCTTTGCTGGCTAGATTGTAGTGTTAATTGACGTTTTGCGTTTTCTAAATTTTTCTTTTCTGTTTTGTTTTCTGTTAAGAATGGAAAACACGATCAAGCATGCTATTGTGATCAAGGTGATGGGACGGACTGGATCTCGTGGGCAGGTGACTCAAGTGAGGGTCAAGTTTCTGGATGACCAGAACCGTTTCATCATGAGGAACGTCAAGGGACCAGTCAGGGAGGGGGATATCCTTACCCTGCTTGAGTCCGAGAGGGAGGCAAGAAGGTTGCGGTAATCATCTGAGATGGGCTTGTTTGTCGATGCTCCTATGTCTGAGTTTAGGTTCTTTGCAAACAAGTGTTATTTTGTGTTGGTGAATGACTATGGTTTTACCATTAATGCGTATTACTAGCGTTACAGACTTTATTTTTGTGATGAGATGTTATGGTTATTGAGCAACAATTTTAGTTCTTAAAAGTTACAATGTTTTGTTGCTTTGTCGGCATTGAAATTTGGTATCAAATTTATCCTTCCTCTTCGTTTTGAATAGTGAAAAAGAACTTAGCATATGTTCTTTCCATAGCCACTCAGATTTTGCTAAATTGCTAATCATTTTATTCTTTGAATTTTGAAACTTTTTCACGTTATTTGCAAGAGAATATACATCATATGATTCTGGTTCTAACACTTGGTGAATGCAAATATCTGGTGAGAAGCGATTCAAGCAACAAAGAAGAGCCATCGAGTCTTGAAGTGTCGGCTGTAACTAAGCATGGTGTTAAGGTTATTGGTAGTATGCCGGAGCCTAAGTTGAGTGGGCAAAGGCGTTCTAGTCTCTGCACCACTGTTGGGCGGACTTGATGTGTTATGAGGTCATTAAGCATGCCCTAAGTTACTCGGAATAGTAGAACACCTACGTGCTATGGTTGGAAGCAAATAAGCAACAAAAAGACCCCAAATTTTGATAAAATTCACATGGTCATCCCAATTCTAAGGAGAGTGCTAAGGGGGCGTTTGTTGCGCCGGACTATCTCGGACTAGATTAGCTTCAAGGACTAAGCTGGACTGGCTTAGACTAGACTAAACTGGACTAACTTAGTGAAGCGTTTGGTGCAGTATTGGACTAAATGTCGGACTAAAATATTGACCCAATTTTTTTGTTAATAAGAGAACAAGAAATTAAGAAAGAAATGCAACGCCACATGGAGCCAAATTCATTGTTTCCAATTTTTAGGATTGCAATCGATATGATATCAAGAGGTCCAGAACTCCAGAATTAAAACCCAAAATAAACAAAATTAAATCCAAAAAAAAAAATAAATAAATAAAGAAAGAAATTTAACATCAAAACTAAACCCAGAATTGGAAACGCAGTGTAAAACATCAAAACTATTCCTTTAGGTGGCTTCGACGACACCGAATCTTGGTCGTTGATGATCTCTTCTTCAAGCTCGTCGTCGTCCTCCCTCGACGACACCGAATCTTGGTTGCACAAAAGATGAAGGTGGGTCACTGCCGACGGCCGGGCCATGGTGACGGCTCCGCAGAAGAAGGCGGAGCGTGGAGGGACTGGGTGGGGTTAGCAAGCGAAAGTGGGGATTGGATGTCGGCCTGGTTTCCTTCTTCTAGTCCTTGCTAATACCAAGCGAAAGCGTGGGATTAGGCTGAGAGCTTTAGCGAAGCGCGTAGGGACTCGTAGTCGAGGCGAGTCCCATTTATTTTAGTCCCACAACCTACCAAACGTAGGATTATAGTCCTACTTAAGGTAGTCCAAGCCAATCCCTCCTAAGGAGGTGTAACAAACGTTAAATGTCATATTTGGCCCTTAAATTTTTTGGAGTTCTCACGTTCGCTGGATTTTCTTGTGTTCGTAGACAAGCGAATGAAGTGCCTATCGACTGGCTCGCTTTGAACATTTCTCCGGTTTCGAAAGGGGTTGGTTTGATTAAAGAATGTTACGAGTTTCTAGTTTGCTCAAAGCCTCAAATTTTTACTGCAAAGTTTTAAAATTGTATCAATTTACGTTTTTTATTTATGTTTATCTAATTTTTATTAAGTTGATAAATCTGATGCACATTTGGTTTTCATGTTAACTCATATAGGATTTCACTCATAATATGTCATCAATTTAACGAAGATTAAACAATTAATCCGATTAATGACATAAAATTAATACAATTTTAATACATGATGTAAATTGAGAAAACCAAAACTTCATCGACCAAATTTTTAATTTATATTTTATATACAGAATCAGGGTTGATGTTAAATAAATTCCATAACGAAGGGTAAAAGAGTAAACCTAACCCAAACCCTAATTGATTCAGAACTATTTCCTTTGTTTCACCTCCTTGCCCTGCGCCGTTCCCTCGTCTCGAGCGATTCAGCACTCCACATCGCGGCGCCATTTGTATTGTCTTCTTCTTCAATCTCTGTCTCTCTGACCTCTCTTCTGAAACTCCAACCTCCAGGTCAGCCTTCATCCCTCTCACCCACCACCACTGTAACTTCCTTTCGTCGATTGCTAATGTTTTTTTTTTTTTTAATTATTTATTTATTTGTTTTTTTTTGATCTTTTACTCTTAATGCTTCGTAGTGTTTCCCATTTATTTAGAATTAAGCTTGCATTTTCAATTTCTGAATTGAAATACGAAATTTAGAATATAAATTTTGGTTTAAGGTGATTAAGCTAGTGATTTATGCCCTTTTTCAATTTTTAATTTTCTTGCTAATTTTATTTATCTGATTTTTACCACTTGATTTGTATAATATGTGTTAACTATTAAGAACCCATAATTATTTAATTTGTTCAATATTGGGATCATTTGAGGCGGACAGTGTCCAATAGTGATCAAATTTATGTAATCTCATTTGCTGGGTGAAGGTGTTTTAAATTTAATCAACTAGGGTTTAGAGCTGATTTTCTAACTTTTGTAGCTTGAATTGCTGTTATACAGAAACCATGGCCGCTGCTGATCTAGCTGCTCCGGTGCTGGAACCGACACAGCCGCACTATGACGTGAAGCTCTTCAACCGATGGAGCTTTGATGATGTCCAGGTTTCTGCCTTTTTTGATTGGACTGTGTGCTCTAATTTTCCAAAATATATGATGAATTTGATAAAGCAAGGCTGAGTTTGGTAAAACTAAGTGCAGCTGGACTTAAGTTCCTGATTGTTTATGTTCAGAAGTACATTAGGTTTCGTGTGGATATTGATAATGCTTTAGAGTGGACCTGTTGTGGGTCACCATAGGTTATGTATTCGTTTTGCATTTTCATGTCGGTTGTTGTCTTGGTTTAAAAAAAATTTAGATATCTTTATGGCCTACAGTGAAAGTCATAGGCTAAGTTTGTTGTCATTATGATTTTAGCGTGTATTTCTGTAAATTTACAAACCAACAACAACAACAACAAAGCCTTATCCCACTAAGTGGGGTCGGCTGTATGAATCCTAAAACGTCACTGCGCTCGGTTTAAATATAAACATGTTATACTCTGTGATGTGAAACATTTAGGTCAGTGACATTTGACTTGGTTAATCTGTGTTACTCACATCTACTATTTATACTATGTGATGTGCAACATATAGGTCAGTGACATTTCACTGGCGGATTATGTTGGAGTTGCACCTTCCAAGCATGCAACATATGTACCTCACACTGCTGGGAGATACTCTGTCAAACGATTCAGGAAAGCTCAGTGCCCTATTGTGGAGAGGCTTACAAACTCACTCATGATGCACGGGAGAAACAATGGAAAGAAACTCATGGCTGTCAGAATTGTTAGGCACGCAATGGAAATTATCCATTTGCTAACAGATCTGAACCCAATCCAAGTTATTGTTGATGCTGTTGTTAACAGGTACATGGACGGGAATATGTTAATATCTGTCTCATAGTAGTAACATGTTTTGCCTTGTAATTACTTGTATCTTTGACACCTTTTTCTAATTTTTCTGTTGTATGTCTTCTTTCTACCGACCAGTGGTCCACGTGAAGATGCAACTCGTATTGGATCTGCTGGAGTTGTTAGGCGTCAGGCTGTGGATATTTCACCTTTGAGACGTGTGAATCAGGCTATCTATCTCCTCACAACCGGCGCTCGTGAGTCTGCTTTCAGGAACGTCAAAACTATTGCAGAGTGTTTGGCTGATGAGCTTATTAATGCTGCCAAAGGTTCCTCTAACAGGTAGTGACGACTTGTTTCATATGCACGTTGCCTATTACTCGTTATTTTCTCTCTAAACTCTTATTTCTGTGCTTTTTTCATTTGTTTCCCTCGATTCATTGGTTTCTTTCCTGACTTATTTGTGCTCCATTTTGTGCAGTTACGCAATCAAGAAGAAGGATGAGATCGAACGAGTCGCTAAGGCCAACCGTTAAGGAGCTGCCGAAAATTTTTATGAAGCGGGAGTTTTGTCTACGTTTTGTTTATTCGATTGTTGCTTAAGAAGTTGTCGGATTCACCCTATAGCATGAGAATTGCGCGTCAATTTTTTTGTTATGAAGATCTCAATTATTCTTGTTGAGTTGAATTTTATTTGAATTATGTTACATTTGAATAGTAAAATTTCAAAACTTTAGTAGCTGTTGACAAAGCAACCCCACTGAACTAGTTGTATGTATGTCCACTCGGGGTAAGAAAGTTGCAAAAACAAGAACATAATCGTATAAAATCTCTTGTGAAAAGTTTAAATTTAAATAATAAAAGTTAGAAAAATACTAGAACCACAGGTTTTTGCAGTTTAGGAAGATTGAGTCTGTGAAGAATATGGGTACGGTGTTGTTTTATTATAGTGGTGAAAAGCAATTGTATTTATGTGCACTGTATTGCGGGGTAGCCGTCATCTCCTCCCCTTAAAAGTGATTGCTTTCAGTCGCTTTGATAAAGCGTAATCTGGAAATTAGGATTTTCGATGTAGACATTTTAAAAAATTCAAACAAATAAAATAGGCAAGATTGACTTTCGGTCCTTATAGTTTGGTTAAAGATCACTTTTGGTCTCTATTGTTTCAACTATCTCAATTTTAGTTCATGTAGTTTCTCAAACGATGCAATTGAATGACATGTTACATTTTTCATTCAAATTTGAATTTCAATATAAACACTTTAAAAATATAAAAAAATAAAAAAAATAAAAAAGGCAAAATTTCACTTTCGATCCTTATAGTTTAGTTGAAGCTCACTTTTAATCTCTATGGTTCAAATTGTCTCAATTTTAGTTTATGTAATTTCTCAAACTACGCAATTCAATGACATGTTACATCTTTCATCCAGTCAGTTAACTACTACTAAACTAGAAAAAGCATGTGCCACTTTGATGCATGGGCATTTTAGTAATTTAAGAGCAAATAGATAAAAAAAAGAGGTATTCATCAATTTTCCCCCTGAATTTGTAACCATTGGCCAATTTCCCTCCTCAACTTTAATTTTGGCCAATTTCCCCCCTCAACTCTCATAATTAGTCAATTTCCCCCCTCAACTTTAATTTGGCCAATTTCCCCCTCAACTCTCAAAATTAGTCAATTTGCACCCTACAATTAATTAATTTTTTTTTTAAATTTTCCATCTATTCTTTTCTTAATTTTCAATCTTTCTAATAACTTCCAACAAAGTACTAAAATTAACATAAACTCACCTGCATAATATAGGGTAAAATGTACAAAAACATAATACAGTTAGTATGTGATATGGGTTGATTATAAGAAAAAGTTATGAATCGGGTTTAAAGCATGTAGAAGAAGAAATAATAACAAAAAGAAATAATAATCCTAAACTCATGGATCAGACCTATTTCAATAAAATGGGTTATTCTTAATAAGGAGTCGAAAATTATGAATAGACTAGCCATTTTTTCACTAAAGCTCGATTCTCCGCAATTTACTTGAACTTAGCTTTCACTTTTATAAAGAAAATTGTATTCACATACAAAATTTTACACATCAATCCTTTTCGTTATCAATTTTGTATAGTCAAAAATCAAATAAAATTACTCCATGTTGATTTATTATGACTAATAATACTATCTATGATAAATTGTAAAATTCTAAATTTTAATCTATTTGTAATAGGATAAAGATATAGGAGCATGATTAACATACATCTTATTTAGTTTCTTACACACACTTGTTTAATTATGATCAAATTAAAAAATTAACATTAGGGTGCAAATTGACTAATTATAAGAGTTGAGGGGGGAAATTGGCTAAATTAAAGTTGAGGGGGGGAAATTGACTAATTATGAGAGTTGAGGGGGGAGATTGGCCAAAATTAAAGTTGAGGGGGGAAATTGGCTAATGGTCACAAGTTCAGGGGGGAAATTGATGAATACCTCTAAAAAAAAAATATAGCGTGTCTTTGAGTTGCATCATTTGCAAAAGTACAAGGACTAAAATTGATACAATTGAAACCACAAGGACCAAAACTGAAATTCAATAAAACTATAGGGACCAAAACTGAAATTTCGTCAAGAAAACAAAATAAGAAGAAAGGTAAACTAGACCCGACCCGAGATCCAAAGCCCTAGCCGATTAAAAGATACTCTTCCTCCCACTCTTCGCCGTTTCCTAGTCTTCAGCGATTCAGCACGCTTTCCCCGGCGCCTCTCGCTCACTCGTCTGAAACTCGAACCTCCCGGTCAGTCCTCTTCTCTCTCACCCACCTCCACCGCTTCCCGTCGTTGATAGCGTAAATTTTGGCATAGCATCTGCTACTTACTGTGAAACTGGATTTAATTATCATTAGGCTATTCCTTCAATTAGAATTAGATTTGAATTTTTAGTTGGTATGTTGATTGAAATGGGAAATTAGGGTCCACGGTACTAAGGTGATTAAGTTAGGGATTTACTGATTTGTATCCTTTTCCCCTTTTATTTTTATTGGAATTTTATTTACATCAATTTCATTACTTGATTAGTAGAAACATGGGTTAGGGTTCCCATTTTTTTTTATTTTTTTATTTTTATAATTTATTCAAATTTGAAACATTTGAGGGACTGTAATTGTTTATGCAATCTCATTTTCTGGTTTTTGATATTTTTGCGAAGTTTGATTATCAGCGTGTTACATTGCAGCTTGGTTTTAATGGCAGCTATTACCAAATATTTTTACAATTTTTTTTATTGTACCAACGGCTTATCGCGTCAATGCTCAGACTTTCCTAGCTTTAATTGTGTTTATACTGAACAGAACCATGGCTGCTGCTGATGTACCTCTTCCTGTAGCCGAACCAACGGACCCTCACTATGACGTGAAGCTGTTCAACAAGTGGAGCTTTGATGATGTCCAGGTTTCTGGATTTTATTATTTGACTTGTAGAATTATATTGTTCTCTTATCTGTGATGATTTAGATGAAATAAGGTTTTCTTCAACATGTATGTTTGCAGCTACAAAGGTTTAATGTAGGTAGGTTTGAGCTATGATACTCTGTTTTAGAATATACTGATGGTTGGATAGCAACAAAGACAGCGTTTATGTTCGTATCATTGTTGAGTAGTTGTAAGTAACATGACGGGTTTCTGCCTCAACCTCAATGGATTTATTGGATTTGTTTTTTTAAATGTTTAGAATTGCGTGAGGCCTCCATGCGACCGTCTTGTGTTAAATTCACTGTAGGCCTCTTTGTGTTCGTTTCTTTGTTGGGTAGTTGTAAGTAACATGACGGAGGTGTGACTCAACATCAATATATGTGTTGGATTTGATCTTTTAGGTGTTTAGAAATCTATGCGTCCTCCTTGTGGCTGTCAAGTGTTAGATTCACTGTATGTTTAACAAGGTCGGCTAAAGTTTGTTGCACTTGTTTTGGTGACATGCATGTTGTGTCATCCTGAATATGCTGATATTGTTTTTACTGTGATTTTCAAATTTATAATGATAAAGCCAACATTTATGTATGTTTTCTTTTATTCCATGTGTGTCTTACATCTTTTCCTCGCTATTAAGTGTTTCTGTTGATTGATTGGTTTTTACACCTCAAATTGTTTTTTGTTTTGTTTAGATGCTGAAAAAGGATTCTGTCGACAAAAGCTTGTTAATTTTATTGTTTTGCATCTTCTAATGTATGGACTAATTTTTTTATGTGATTCTTCATCACATCTGTTGCCCTTATTTATGTGAAATGATAACGTATAATTTTAACATGTAGGTCAGTGACATTTCACTGGCGGATTACATTGGAGTTGCACCTTCTAAGCATGCAACTTATGTACCTCACACTGCTGGGAGATACTCGGTCAAACGATTCAGGAAAGCTCAGTGTCCTATTGTGGAGAGGCTTACAAACTCACTCATGATGCATGGGAGAAACAATGGAAAGAAACTCATGGCTGTCAGGATTGTTAGGCACGCGATGGAAATTATCCATTTGCTAACTGATCTAAACCCAATCCAAGTTATTGTTGATGCTGTCGTTAACAGGTACATACGCAAATATGTTAATATCTTGCATGTGCTCCAATATCCTAGTGGATAGTGTGTTGGGTTTCCACCCATGAGTCCTAGGTTTGAAACGCCCCCATCCCCTTAATAATAATAATTTAAAAAAAATAATATGTTAATATCTTTCTCATAGTAATAAGATATGTTGTGCTTGTGCTTAGTCCCTTGTTTGATGCTTGGGCGGATGCTCATGTGCCCTTTAATATAGTTTTCCTGATTAAATGTTGATTTTTATCTGTTTGGATTACAAGGGATATGACCATTCTTCTTCTTTCAATTCTGTATGTTTGTATATCCTGTTTTTATTTCTTTGTGCCAATCAGTGGTCCACGTGAAGATGCAACTCGTATTGGATCTGCTGGAGTGGTTAGGCGTCAGGCTGTGGACATCTCACCTCTGAGACGTGTGAATCAGGCTATCTATCTCCTCACAACTGGTGCCCGTGAGTCTGCTTTCAGGAACGTTAAAACTATTGCTGAGTGTTTGGCTGATGAACTTATTAATGCTGCCAAAGGTTCCTCTAACAGGTAATGCGCTTATTTGCCTATTACACCTTATTTTCTCCAAAGCTCTTTCATCTGAATTTGTTATTTCTGTTAAAGTTATGTTCTTTCCATTGTATCATTGTTTCTTCGCTGACGATTAGTCGTGTTTATGTGCAGTTATGCAATCAAGAAGAAGGATGAGATCGAAAGAGTTGCCAAGGCCAACCGTTAAGGGGCTGCGAAGAAGTTTTATGCAGCAGGGAGAATTTTGTATGTGTTTTGTTTAATCACTATGTAGAAGTTGTCGGATTAAGCTTCGAATGTGCGACATGTCTCTGTCATTTATGTTATGAAACCAGTCATCCTTTAGTTTGGATTGTGTAATTTTATAGCGTTGGATGCGGATGATTTGAATTTTATGAAGATTATGGTTTTTGAACTTTTGATAATCATTTCGCACTTGTAATGGTCGTTACTTGGAGACTCACCTGATTCTTTTGGAAGGGTTGCCATGGTGGAAGTGCACTTACCTCTTGGGGCAGGCGCCGGCCATGGTATAATGCCCCTCATCACCCACTCCTTTCGGAGGTTGGTAACTTCGGCGGTGTTGGAGGCAGGGGGGGAGTTTTTCCATGTTTTTAATGTCGTGATTCATTCAACTTGATTTTTACATTGTGTAAAAGATTGAAAATGAATAACCGACACCCTTTGTTGATGAGTACATTATATCGCGAACCTGGCTTCCGAGCAAGCACAAGAACACAAGATTTCACAGAAATGCCTGAAATCGTCGTCCTAGGGTTGAGAAGTATAAGACAGGTAAATGAAAGAAACTGGAATTATCATCATGCAGCACCACCTTCTCTAGTAGCCTTCCTAAGCAATGTTGTACTCAACCGGAAAGTTGTCGTTGGACAGAGGATGGAAGGAAATTATTTGCGTACGCCATTGGCTTGACGTCGGGATGTGGCACTGCTGAGAAAGTAAATATCAGAGCGCAATCTGGTCCTTTGAAACGAATAAACGCACACTTGTATCATTGTTTCTTCGCTGACGATTAGTCGTGTTTTATGTGCAGTTATGCAATCAAGAAGAAGGATGAGATCGAAAGAGTTGCCAAGGCCAACCGTTAAGGGGCTGTGAGACATGTCTCTGTCATTTATGTTATGAAACCAGTTATCCTTTAGTTTGGATTGTGTTGCGGATGATTTGAATTTTATTAATATTAAGCTTTTTGAACTTTTGATAATCATCTCGCACTTGCAATGGTCGTTACTTGGAGACTCACCTGATTCTTTGTTAAGTGTTGCCATGGTGGAAGTGCACTTACCGCTCGGGGCAGGCGCCCACCATGGTACGATGCCCCTACCGCCTCCCACCGTCCTTTCGGAGGTTGGTAGGGGCAGTGTTGGCGGTATCAAGGGAGTTTTCCAGCTTTTTTAGGTCGTGATTAACTAAACTTGATTTTTACGTTGTGTAAAAGATTGAAAATGAATAGACAATACGTCGACACCCCTCGTTGATTGGTACAATTCATCGTGACCAGGCTTCCGAGCAAGCACAAGAACACAAGATTTCACAGAAAATGCCTGAAATGTTCGTCCTAGGGTTCAAGTACAAGAAAAGACAGGTAAAATGAAAAACAAAACAACTCGACGTGCAGCACCATCTCTAGTAGCCTTCTGAAGCAAAGTTGTACTCAACCGGTAAGTTGTCGTCGGATAGCGGATAGAAGGAATTTATTTGCGTATGCCATTGGCTTGACGTCGGGATGTGGCACTTCTGAGAAAGTAAAAATCTGAGCCAAATCTGGTCCTTCGAAACGAATAAAGGCACCCTTGTTACCGAACTGATCACAGTAATTCGGAGCAGAAAAAACTGTGACGAGTCTTTCGTCATGCTCAAACTCATATCCCTCGTCCTTCAGTTCGTGAGATCGCACAACTAAACTTAAATTGTTTTCCAGCAAAAATCGTCTTGTTACATCGCCGCCAAAAGAAACACCTGAACCTCGCTTGCTCGGGCCTCTTCCGGGCGTAGCTTGAGGATCACTCCACAGCAATTCACCCATCAACCCTTCCTGCGGAGGTTCACAAAACCTATTTATCTCTCTAATGTCACTCAATTTCACTCCATCGACACTGAAAAGACCGCCATGCGTTACAAAAACCTTGCTATTGATTACATGAGCCAGCGGTAAACAGCAAAACGCTTCAGCAAACAACTCCACAAAATTTTCACCTAACTTCGACCGGACCTCGCCCTCAAAACCGTATATCACGTTCATGTTCTTTGTCTCATGATTTCCTCTCGCGAGATGTATCGCTGATGGACACATGCACTTGAATGCAAACAACGTTAGGACTACCTCCAAAGAAAAAGATCCCCTGTCGACAAAATCTCCGTTGAACAGATACGGGTTCTCCTCCGATGGAAGCCCGTTGAGCTCGAAAATATTTACCAGATCATAGAACTGACCATGCACATCGCTACAGACAGTAATGTGATTGCCAGCAGGAACACTTATATCAACCAGGGACGGCAGGGCTCGCAACAGTTCTTTCGTCTGTGAGATGATTTGGAAAGCTTGTCGTGGGTGTAATGTTTTCTGGTTCTTGAAATCCTCCATCATCTCCTTCACAAAATCCAGACTAACAACAATATCCCCAGCTTCACTGGCATATCGGTGGTGGTTATTTACTCGACTTTCGTTGCAACCGCCACCGCGCCACCAACGTTCCCCCAGGGCCGCCATGACCGCCACACCACTATTGTGGCCAACAACTGCAGTCGCTTCTTGTAACGTCAGCATCGTTTGGACAGATTCTTTCTGTTGGAGAATGATAAAATATTTATTCGACCTTCCTCAAATCATTTGGGATTATATAGATCTAATCTCCTACCTTAATAAGGAAACAATATCCATGGAGATTTAGATTTACTTGTCGAATTAGGATTTTCTCCTACTTACATGAGGAAGTAATATTTAGGTACAGTCCTTGTATTTGTGGATATAGGATTTCTTTTTTCTACATACCTCCTTATGTAGAAAAATAAAGAAGGATCGATGTGTGAGAGAGATTATGAGTAAGTTCCTAAATACTTTATTTAACTTTGATACTTGGTTGAGCCATTTTGAGTTCGCTTCTTTGTGAGTGCAACAAGCTAAGTTTCTTTAGTTTACACCCACAGGTCATGCACGATGATGATGAATGCTGTTTTTGTCCTTACTTTTATTTATTTATTTAGCACCGTTAGATAACTATTTGATTTACAGTTTTCAAATTTAGTCTTTGATTTCCAATTTTAACTTTTTTGAAAAACAAACTTGGTAACTATTTTCAGTTTTCATAAAAATGAAAACTGAAAACTTAAGGAAGTAGTTTTAGATTTTCATTTTCAGTTTTCATTTTTTTTAACACAGAAAACCAAAAGAAGTTACCAAATAAGATTTTTTTTTAATATTAAAAAAAGTGAAAACTGAAAGCGAAATGATTAATGATAAAGATTTTACCACACACGCAAACGGGTTAAAAACTCCTATATTACTTGCAAGAATGATAAGGTTGTTGTAGTATAAACGGTTCTCACAAGGTCGTTCTCTAGAGGGATTATTAAATAATTCAAAACCAACCAAATTTCAATTAATTATTGTAAAGCATAAAATTGAGATGATTGGTTTTATAATCTACTTAAATTAAAACGAATTTAATTAGTAAAAGTAAACTAATCTGCAATATTAAAGATGAAGGCGAAAGAAAACTGTTTTGGAAAAATCAAATTACGAAAGCACTAGGGTTCCACCATCACCTAGCAATCCTATGTATTTTTACCAATCACTTGCGATCTACACATGCCACTCTGAAGGTTAGGTTTTCCTAATTTATATTCTACTTGGAACCTCCAACATAGAACGTATATCTAACATGTAACCCGTCCGGACGTTCGGATCAAATCTGAACATGAAAGGCTCATTATGCTTTATGAAAACCCTGTGAAAAACCATGCAACCCTTAAGACGTGGTGTTCATCTTAAGTGAAATTACAATTATTAATCACAAGAAGCCAGCGTCAATTACAGGGAACCTTCCAATCAAAACTGCATTAAATTACTTTTCTAAAGATCCTAATGGTGATCAGGCATTAAGACAATTAGATAGTTTTAATCATGGTGATCAATAATTCAAAGTATGCATGCAATCAATCACAAGCAATTAAATAAAAATTACATATTCATGCTAAGGCTTAAGGCTTCGCCCTAGCAAAAAGAATTAGTTGTGCATATTCATAATTGAAATCATAGAAAATATTGTTAAGAATAAAAGGAATGAAAACAACTTAAAGTAGAAAATCTCCAAGAACCCTAGCAATTACTCTCTGACTCCAAAGTTGCATAAAAGAAAGCGTTCCAAAGATTAAGAACGGTAAAGCAATATGTTCGCTGAGCCATCCCACAAACCCTAAAACATAGGTCTCTTATTCCAACTTGGAAACTAAATAAAAGTAAAATATCTTAGAAAATAAAACTGTAATTAAACTAGGAAAATCTGCCAAGTACTTGTCTAGCCACATTTTAACTTCAAATCTCCACCAAATCCGGCCCATAATAGCTTGTTTTAAGGATCAGGACGTTATGAACACATCTCCAGAATGCCACCCATCCGAGGTCATCTTGGGCTCCAAAAATATCATTCAAGCCCAAAACGTCACTATTCAAGCACTGCGCATGGCTCCTTTATTTTATTGCCAGAAAATCATCGCTTGGTAGAAAAAACTGATATTTTGACACAATCAAGCTAAGTGACTCATGAACGTCCTCTAATTGGAATTACTCCAAAATTCGATCATTTGATCATGTTTTGCTCCAGAAGAAGTCGAAAATCCTATATATATTAGAAATACAATTCAAAGTATCAAAATTCTTCCAAATTATAAACCACAATATACTAAGAATAGGATAAAATATATAATATAAAATGTACTCATCAATTAATTATCAAACAACCCCTTAGTTAAATGGAAATTAACATTTGGGACCAAAAGTACACGTTTGGTTAACATGGATCTCAGTTCACAAATTTATAGTTTAGGAACAAAAATTAAACCAGATTGAAAGTTTAGTCACCAATATATGAACAAAAATTAAACAGGCCATGACACAAAATTTCAAACAAAATGCCTTAAATATTCATCCCAGGGGTTTGAGAAGTACAAAAAAGACAGGTAAAATGAAAAGAACAATATCTACGGGAAACTAATCACAACAATATACTGCATTTGTCAACATGCACCAACACCTTCTCAGTAGCAGCCTTCTGAAGCAAAGTTGTACTCTACGGGAAAGTTAAGTTGTCAGAAAGCAGAAGCAGCCATTAGCTCGACGTTGGGAAGTGGCACGCAGCGGCGGATCCATAGAGGGGCCAAACTATCATTGCAAGCGAATAGTGGTGGGATATAAAAGTGAAGGAGAGAAATATTTTCTCAAATCAACGGAGAATGTGTCTTCATATCAACTGGACATTCTGTTTAAACAATGAGCTGTTATAGGGGAAGGTGCAGGGCCCCCTCACAAGGTTTTATGAATAATAATGCCTAGAAGCTCCAATAATGATATATATAATGATAATGGACTTAGGCCATAGTCGATGCTGAAACACCCTCTCCTGTTCAACCTTCAACCCAGGAAAGGACCAAAAAGAAGAAGAGATTAAAAAAAGCTGAAACTGTGGCCAAGGTGATAAAACAGTTAGTGGGTATTTTGGAGGCCTAAACAATCGTTTTAAAAGCAAGGACAAGCCTGGTTGTAGCATTGAAGAAGTAATGTAAGTACTGATTACTTGCAGAGTGTTTGGCTGATGAACTCACCTCAAACAGGTACTGATTACTTGCTTTCGATGCGCTTATTTGCATATTACTTGTTACTTTCTCCAAACCACTTTTATCTTTGAGTTTATTTCCAAATTTGTTATATAATCTAGGGTAAAGTACAAAAAACTACCTTAATTATTGGTGTCACGACACTTTAATACCTGATCTTTTAAAATTGACAATGTCATACCTCATCTTTAGAATTTGGTCCAATGTTATACCTTCCGTTACTTGGCCGTTTATTTTTCAGTTAAATGCTGACGTGGCTTGATTCGGGATCCACTTTCTATTAAAAAATCATTAAAATATTATTAAAAACTAAAAAAAAAAATAGTTAATATTATTTAAATATTAAAATAATAATAATAAGTTAAAAAAAAAAAAAAAACCATCAGTTCGTCCCTTCCTCCCCCTCCCCCTTCTCTCTCTTTCCCCATCTTCATTTTCTTTCCCCCACCTGCAAACCCAAAAAAAAAAAAAAAAAAAAAAAAATTTGAAAACCCAATAACCCCCCTTGCGGAAGAACAAGAAGGAGAAGGAGGAGGAGGAGGAGGAGGAAGAAGAAGAAGAGAAAAAAAAAGGAGGAAGGAAAAAAAAAAAAAAAAAAAAAATTCCCCCCTGGGTTGGCGTGGAAGAAGAAGAAGGGAGAAGGAGAAGGAGGAAGAAGAAAAAGAGGAAGGAAAAAAAAAAAAATTTTGAAAACCCATCAACACCCCCCCTGCGGAAGAAGAAGAAGGAGAAGGAGGAGGAGGAAGAAGAAGAAGAAGAGGAAAAAAAGGAGAAAGGAATTTTTTTTTTGAAAACCATCAACTCCCCTGCGGTAGAAGATGAACGAGGAGGAGGAAGAAGAAGAAGAGGAAAAAAAGGAGGAAGGAAAAAAAAAAAAATTTTTTTGAAAACCCATCAAACCCCAAATCCACCACTCTCATCCATTCTCCACATCCTCTTCCGCACCCATCCTCCACCTTCTCTCTGCACCCATCTTCCCGTCGACGGGATCTGGTTTTTTTTTTTTTTTTTTTTTTTTCTCTCTGGGTTCTAGGAGGGAGAAGAGTGTGGCTGTGGGTGTGGGGGAAATTGAGTGTGGGTGTGAGGGAAACTGAGTGTGGGTGTGGGGGAAGACAAATTGGTTTTTTTTTTTTTTTGTTTGTTTGTTTGTTGGGATTTGCAGGTGGGGGAAGAAGATGAAGATGGGGAGAGGAGAGAGGAGGGAGGAGGGAGGAGGGAGGAGGGAGGAGGGGGGGGAGGGACGAAATGAGGGTTATTTTTTTTTCCCTACTTTTTATTATTTTAATATTTAAAAAATATTAAATAATTATTTTTTAGTTTTTAATAATTTTTTAATAGAAAGTAGGTCTTGAATCAAGCCATGTCAGCCCTTAACAGAAAAACTAACAGAAAAATTGATGGAGGTATGACATTGTCACAAATTCGTAGGATGCGGTATGACATTGTCAATTTTAAAAGATGAGGTATGAAACTGTCGTGACCCCAATAGTTGAGGTAGTTTTTTTATATTTTACCCTATAATCTATTAGTCTGATTTCATTTATTTCCCTTGATTCCTCATTTCCTCGCTGACGATTGTTAATATTTTCAGTGCAGTTATGCAGTCAAGAAGGATGAGATCAAAAGAGTTGCTGATGCTAACCGTTAAGGGGGCCTAATAAAACAGCGATTCAACGACGAGAGTTTTGTCTCCGTTCTGTTTGTTAAGTCAACGGTTAGAACTTAGAACTTGCTGGACTTACCCTTGAACATGAGGGTCTAGGATTCTCTCCTCTCATTTTTCCATCCCCTTCTTTAATATTTTCTATTTTGTCTTTCTCTTTCTATAAAAAATTAATATAAAATGTTGATGTGGCTTAACCGTAATCGTTCAAATAGGAAGGGAGGGAAAAGGAGGGAAGGGGAGGAAAAAAAAAAAGGGGAGAAAATCCTACT